GCGAGTCGGGCGAGAACTTGTCGTCCATCAGGAGCTGTTGCTGATGCATGTGTTGCTGTTGGAGGAGGTGTTGCTGCTGTTGCTGATGGGGGCCGCCGTTGGGCTGTTTGCGGTACACATTGACGTCCACGTCGGGCACATAACACCCATGCATATCGTCGTCGATGATGGCAGTGCCGCCGCGACCGCCACTGCCGTACCCGCCCTTACGAGTGATGGCGTTGGCGGTGATGATCTTGCGGGTGCGACCCCCGGAGCCGAGCACCTGCTGCTGGGCGGCGATCTCCTGCTCGAGCACCCGATCGCCCCGATCCAGACTAGTGATGGTCATTGTCCGGTCGAGCCCCACCTCGACGGATGTTTCGCGCGATCGGCGCAACTTATAGTCACGTTTTCGTTGTCTCCGTTCCTGTATTTTACTCCAACAGGAGATTGTGATCGACGCACACATTCCCAACACTAGCGCACAGAATACCACCAGTATTACCACCATGTGTTGCGACGTGAAGTTAAATATACCGCCCGTATCTAAGGTGAGCGAGGTAAAATGACCAAGGTTAGTGCAATTTGATAAACAGTTACACGACGTGTGTGCAACATATTTGATTGTCAAATGTTCAACTAATTTAGTTTATTTATTAATGTCGGTTTTGTGAAAAATAATCTAGTTATTATCTATTTAGAATATACAGTACACTAATTTGTATATTAACATTGTAAAGTTTTATTTACATTAATTTACCGATATTTACTATAAATTTCTTGTCTGTTAATTAAATAACTATACAGGATAATATTAATAACAAATCTAGCATAAATATTTTGTTACTAAAACTAACCTGGGGACAACCTACAAAATACTTAAAACACCACTATGATTAGTACCGACATTAATAAATAATGGGTGTGTAAAATGACTGTGGTCATAATTACCGGGGGCGCATGTGCTGGTCTTGTCCTCGTCGTAACGGTATTTACAATTGAAATAACCGTCACATTTAAGCTGCTTATCGATACAAGTGCTGTCCTCGCAGTCAAACTCGTTGGGCCGACATTTCTCTGCAATACACCAAAAGGATTACTCAATACACACAACACTGTATATAAACATACAGAATATTCTGGCAAAAATAATCTAGTTTTACACATAGCAAATCATTATAGGGCACAGACAGTGAGTATTACACATTGTTATCTGTTATCATATATACTACACCACTATTACTGTCCATTCGGATCAAGTGTTAAACTCATATACAGTGTAGGATTATGTAGCGCGTAGAGCACTACGGATTAAACCATGATAAATCTTAAGCAAACACAGGTTATGCCTATTCATAACCTAATGTCAATTCATACAAACACCCCATAAAGAACCCACTATAACTTACATGATCATGATAAGTAACGTAACTACTTACAAGACCTATGCCAATACATGCACAAACACCTATACAATACTATAATAGTTTAATCGGTTTAATATCAGTATTAGAGTCAGGCAGTTTAGGCTCAAGGTTCAACTTTTGAAATAGTAGGTGAGACGGTTGTATGCAATCAAACACATTATGAACAAAAAATACAAATTAATTCATATTATTTAATTAAGAATAACAAATAAAATTTCAAAAGCTGAACCTTGAGCCGAAACTGCCTGACCCTACTCAGTACGTAACTATATAATCATAATTATAAAAAAGTACCATGGTTAAAACAAACTGACCTTTACTACTGCTGAGCTCTCTGAAGGCGGTGTATGTGATCTCGAAATTAACGTTCTGTAAGGCGTCGTGTTTGGCGAAGAACCGGATGTGCATTACGTTAGTCTTTGAGCGCACGGACTCGGCCTGAGTNACCTCGATGTAATTGGCCTCACAGTTGTTCGGGTTGTTTAGCCTGTACTCGTTGAAGTTTAAATACATCTATGTCGTTATGGACAAAAATAAGCTTGGTTTAATTGAGCGAATTTGTTGTAATTTTGTTTTTTCATTTTATTTTGTCGTATTATTGGGTGCTTTAGTTGGTTATCCTATTTTTGATATACAGTTCATTTCTCTATTGATTATCCATTATTTAACTTTTTGTTTGTTTTCCATTGAAAGTAATTTTTAGAGCTCAATAAATACAAACATAACATTATGGTAATATTTACTTATTATGGTCAAAAAATAATAAAATAAAAATAATTAATTTTGGTAAACATAAAACTTTCCATTATTACCATAAATATTTAATAATCAGCACATGAAAAACAACTAATAAACTTAATATATTTAGCTGCATGATACAATAATTTAAACAAAGTAAAATAATACTTTCTTAATAGAGCCATAATAGACTACCTCAATAATTATACTATGTAAACAATACGGCTAAACAAATAATGCCCTGAAAATTATTTAAATCTCCATAAATGTAGCCTAATTAATGCCTCGCTGAATAATCAACAAAAGTATCAAGATGGCTTATTGTGTATATGCAATGAATGTTAATTCATATATGTCAAATACCTTATAACCAGGTAAAACTGTGATATTCCACATGCAGTCGAGTGAGATCTCTTGGGCTATCGAGTAATTCTGTAATTCTGCCGGAATCTCCTTGTGGTGAATGAGTCCACTCACACCAGTCTTGTTGAACCGACACTCTGTATATGCAGTCATACAAAAGCATACAGTGTTTTGTGATTTAATCAATATTTTGTTAAATACATGTGACAATAGAGGAGACGACACTAACCTTTTGGCGGTTCAGGCCTTTCAGCTGTTGAGAGAGTGGGAGAGAGAGAGAGAGAATTAGTCAATGTACAATGTATACACATATACATGTATAGTATTATAGATAAAATTAACGATTTAAATCGTTGTTTTGCTTTTTGAATAAATTTTTCTCATTCACTTTCAATACACAACAAATGTATATAAATTACACGATTATTATAATACGAGAAATTATAATATTAACATGATTATCAACGCCCAGTAAATAGGCACGATTATTGTATTTTGCCTTTCATTTCATTCATTAGCCGCTAATTAATTAAATCATAACTGAATTTAATTGTTTCCTTAATTTTATATTCCAGTCACTCATTGGCGGCCAAATGTATTGACACTAATCGCCTGTTTACTAATACAACACATATACTATATATTACATTCTGGTAACAGAATATCCCTGTAATATATTCTGTTCATTTCAATATACACTATATGTTTATAAAACATTTAATCTTAATTAATGTTTAATATGATTATTAAAGCAAATGATTT